ATTTCCGTCTTCAAATTAGAGGGGATCCTTTCCAGACCCAGATTCGCGCAACGAACTTGAATCATCGAGTGTATCCTGCTATATCGGCAAGTTCTCAAAGGGATGTCCTGATCCATGACCAATGGGGCGCCGGAATATGCGAGCACCGTCGCATCGTCCCGCATCGTCGCGACGATGGCGAGGGCAAGCATTAGGAGTCCGTTCGTCAGGTGTGCATTCATGCCTGCAACAGAATTTCTCCTTCATATTTTTACATTTACTATTTCTCCTTCCTCGTGTCTCGAGACGTTGGCGAGACATGTTCGAGAGAACATTCTCGATAATCTCCCCCTCCCTCTCTCTGTACACAGAGATAACGTCATGCCGAATTTTCCACCCGTGAGAAGCTGGCTTCTCGCCTCATTTTTCGAGACCACCGTTGCACAGTCGTATAATAGAAGGTAATTGAACAAAATTATTTTTTTTTATATATGGAGATATATAAAAAATTATAGAGAAATTATATAGAAAGAAAAATTACGTTTAATTAATATATATATATATTCGAATCCTTAACTCCTAACTGCTGCGCGAAATGTCTGCGCGGTGGATATAGCGAAAAAGTTGTAGCGGATAATTAAGTTAGAAATCGGTTCGAATTTCAGAAACGTACGATAAACTGAACGTTGAGAGTATTAAAGTTAAATATTAAAAAAAGAAGTTATGGTTATTTGCTATTTGTTTATAATATTATATACATTGCGTCGAAATAATTATTTTTTTATACATTTGGAAAATTAATCTTGTCCAGTTAATATACGTTATTCGAAACACTGTGTTTCGCTGTCGCGAAAAAGATTGGCCGTACACGTACTGAGGAGAGGGGGAAGGTATGCGCTCCCGCACCGTATCGAGTTCGATCCATTATTCCCCCCGCCGACCGGATTCGGGAACAACGAAGAGAAGAGAATTTCCGAGTCGAAGGCATCTTCGATACTTCGGTATTTCTCGGTATATATGGAACGCGCACACGTGAATCTCTTGTGAATCTTTCGCATAACTCGGAATACCTGACGAATACCTCTCCCCTCTATCAGCGAATACAAGGGGAAGTTTAGCCAAGCTCGAAAAAAATTTATCCAGACACGGTGCGGACAACGCGATTTCAAAACGTTTAGCCGGCGGAGAGCGAGAAAATTGGTTGGTTACACGGCAACACGCGTTGCCACCGAGCTGTTCGTTGTTTATTGTAACAAGCTTTGATGAACTGCAGAGCCAGCCTCGCTAATGTAAGCCGACTGCGTATACAGTCGTGGATATATTCTCTCGGCGGATGAAGATTCGAAAGGGGAAGAGAGCACGTTCCATGGATACATTTTCGCATCGCTTGCAAAGTTCAAAGGCGGCTGTCTTTATTTTGAAACCGAATCGATCACCATCTGCTCCGTGTGAACGTATCACACGGTATACGTCGACGCGAGATACTATGAATTTTTCAACAAACTTTTACGCGAAACTGGATATCCCAAACCGCAAAGAAAGAAACTATCGCAAAAAAATAACGAGCGCACGTGTTTACTTCTGTTTTTTGTCCCCGATTCGAATACTCGATGGGTCGATGTTTTTCGGTAAATTAACGAGCAAGTCGAAACGTGAAGAAAAGATAGTTAAAAGACGCTTACCAAGACGGAGATATAGGTAAAGCAAACTCTGAGTGAAAATAAATTAGGCAGTTCTCGCGTGGCGTGCGATTTAATTAGCGTGTTCGACTTCTATTGTTACCATTCCCATTATCCAAATACGTATTCGACTAACAACAGCGCGTTATCCGTACGCTTTTTCGCCCGCAGCAGTATTGTGCCTCGTCCCTCGTTCGAAACAGAAACGTTCTATCGTGCAACTACGTACGATAGGATGAGTACGTAGAATTTATCGAAGCACGCGAGACGTTCGACTCGATAAATATCGCGCCTGCAACTCGGTATACATGTTGCACTTAATGCTACATGTATATGGGAGAATTAATACGCGTTGAAAACGATAAATAATAGTTCGTAATAATTTATTCTTTTCTTCAGAAAAAATATGTCACCTAATATATCGATGTAACAACGCTTCTCCCTTTTTTTCTTTTTTTTTTTTTTTACTCTTGTCACGAACTTTCGAATTCGGTTTGCGATGCGTACGTTTTACGAGAGAACAGCAGGGTGCAATCGTACGTAATAATTGAAGTCGCAGGGGGGAAAAGGAAAAACGAAAAAAGGGCAACCGAAAAAAAAATCCCCGAGTTTTCAGTTTTGTCCAACTTTTCCCGACGGGTAGGGTAGTAATCGGATGCTAGTCTGTGCGTATAATATATAGGATCTCCAACGTGTAAGGAGAGAAAAAAAGAAAATATTCGTCGAAACGAGGAAACCTTTCTTCAAAATGGAATGATTCTCTTTCCAAATGAAAAACCCTCGCTTGACTACCGTTTTTCGAATTTATTTTTTTCGCGGTTGAAACGATCTTCGAAATGTGGATCAAGCCTCCTCCTCTCGACAAATCCTGTAAACGCACTTTACGAGTTTACCACCGGTCAACACGAAGCATTTTTTCCTCCTCCCCTCCTTCTCCATAGAACATGGAATGAATCGATGGTGGATAGAATATTCGCGAGTCAAAGGCGCGTATCGTTTCAACGGTTGCGAAATATTTATCGTTTGTTTTTGGTAAATTTTTCCAGAAATTGGATCTCTGGAAAATTGATCAATTCACAAGATTCACCTTCAGTTATTATCGGACTAGTGTCGAAATATCACGTGTTACATCGACAGGTAAGTAGATAGATAGAATCGATAAGATTGAAAGTGGAAAGTAGGAGACACGAGGTACATTTGTTTTTCCAGAAAAAGATTCGTCAATGTTAAAAAATTGCGTCGTTGAACTTTGCTCGAATTATAAATACATCGAGTTCCTCGATACGAGATACTCTAAGTAGTTTCTTTTCTCGCCGTTTCTTATCGTTAACAGAAGAAATACGCGAAAGAAAGTTTTGTTTTTTTTTTTTTTGCTCGATAACGATGAGTTTCAACAGGATGATTTTTCATTCAAAAACTTATCCGTGTTGTTTGCAGATTATGCGATAGATTATCGGATATTTCATATATAATTGTGACGTATCACGTTTTCAGATAGATAAAATTATAGAAAAAGCATGTCATAGATATAAATATACGTGGATAATATTATCATGATTACTTGTTTATCTTTCGCGGCCGTCTTTTAATCGTTTAATCTATTAAATAATCTATTAAAATCGATCGATAAATCGATTTAGCGAAACGAATTATTACTATAATTTTTGTCAAGAGGAAAGAACGTGAAAATGTTTGAAAACAGGTTGAATCGATTATTACGGATTGCAGTCGAATAAAGTATCAAGGTCGATGCACCTCGAGACGAATGATATTAAATCCACGGATCCTTCGTTATCGATCGGCGGTAATACGCTTTCGGAATTCATCACTGTTCAATTTCCACCCACACGGATGTAAAAATGCTCTCATTCTGTCCCTCGTCTCAAAGATAGGAAGCGATTAAACAGCTAAAACAGTCATTCTACAACGAAGTGCCAAACGAGTAATTAACAGATACATTAATTAAACGAATTGATCAAATATTTATTACCAATAATAAATTCTGCTCGATCATCTATTCGTGTTTCTTCTCTTATTAAAAAGCGGGTGCAATTTTCCTAACCTCCAATTTTTTAGAAATTCGAATGTTCCCTCTCCTCCCGCGAGTATGGAAACGCGTAAAATGGAAAATTGCGCAGATCGGGAAGATCGAGCAGGCGGCAACGTGGCCGCATCTGGAAATAAAATGAAGGAGAGAAAAGTGCCGAAAATAACAGCACGTCCCGCGATGGAAAGAAAAACACATTAAGAAGAGGAGGAAAGGGTTACTTGTAGATCGAGAGTAACTAATTTTCCCTCCAGAGTATCGGCAGAAGTTTGATGAAATCCGATCGATAATAAGGAAGCTAATAATAAGGCCAAATTCGATTTCGAATGACCGAATAATTTCAATTTATAAACGGAGGATCGAGTAAAGAAAAACCGATAAAATTTTATTCGGATGAAAAACTAATCGAGGATTGAGCGCAATATACGCGAGCAACTTTATTAACGGATGCCGTTAATTGCTTTCTAACGCGTCATTTGATCGTTTTTTCGAATCTCTCGAGCAAAAAAATTTACGTTTGGAAGGGGAAGCCGTTCGTATACAATTGTATTCGAAAACATTTTCGGATACGGAAATGAAATAGTTTTCATTCCGATAACGCTTTAAATCCTGTATACGTATGTAATCCTGCCGTTGATCGTTGAGCGCGTAAAATTTGTTTTGCGTGTATCTCGGAAAATACGGATCGATCTCGATTCCGAACATTCGACCATTTTGTCCGCGCAAAAGGCGGCGAAACTCGACTCTAACCTTGAAAACGGTAACGAGGCACTCGATTGGCTCTCGAGATTCCTTTCTCTCTAAAAAGAAGGAGAGAGAGAGAGAGAAAGAAAGAAGAATCAAAGCGAAATGTAGATGGCAGTAGACGAAAGGCAAATGGGGAGAAAATTCAGCTCTTTGGTCACCTTTTCCCTTTCCTCTCTTGTTCCGTTCTCGGTGCAAACATCGAGAACAGATATTTTTCAAGCAAACAGTGCTAGCTCTCCCATTAACCGGCCAATCCTCCTCCTCATCGTTGCAGTTTTCAGAGAGAAAATAAATTGAACGAGAGAGGCCGGGCGTAATGTCGTTACTCCTGTATCACTGCAGAAATATCCTGCTAAACTTTTTTCGTATTTATTCTGTCGAGAAATCCTTCGAATTCTTCTCCTCCTATTCCGTATCCGAAATATTTGCAGTCGACTTTTGTTTCAAAGACACCACCTGTAATGCTCCACTGTGTTTGTTTTCATTCCTGCTTTTGTCGATTTCCAACAGTCAGATTCTTACCAACGATCGATGCGACGTGTTCTCGTCGAGAAGGAAGAATAATTAGAGAGAAAAACGAGTGATTTGCGGATCGTTGAAAACTTAAAATAGGGAGGGGGGGGGGATAGAATCTTGACCATTTATCGAAGCAAAACCGGTTATCAATTATGAAAAATTTTCCACGCGTCCATGTAATATCAAAGGCTAATTTCCTTATTAGATTATTCTACCGTGAAACGTACTATCCAAATTAATCAAAGTTTTTTCACT